TTAGTGTGCATTTTAGTGTGTAATTTTGGATTCATCAGACTCATCATCAGATTCATCATTTGGATTCCTGGTTTTGTCATTTTATTAGAAGCAACTTAATGTTGCTTCTAATGTGGCGCCTGTGTACATGACAAGCCACTTGCTGTCCTCACCTACGTTTTTTTCACCTACGTTTTTTACTATGTCCTGCTGTTGGCTGTTTATATGTTTTCTCACGACATTAAACTATATGTCGAGACTTTCACTTATGATCGTCAATCACTCCTGGACATTCGTAGTCACTGTATGGTTGTCTCTGAAACGAATTTGGGAAAGTTCGTGGACATCCCACACAGGAGTATTATACGAGACATTCCGGATTTCCTTTGGCGATGGCCGCTTAACATCACCCCGAGAAAGCGTCGAAGAAGACGCGGGAAACGCGGAGGAGTGATCATCAGACTAAAATCATATCTGCGAGCTGGCGTCCCACCCAGTTTATGTCCTTTGCCTTGGACTACGGATTATTGGCATTTTGTGGTTCGGTATTTACCGGTCCAGTCGTCGCGCTGGCTTCGATAGGTCCCTCAGGTCCCTCAGGCCTCTCCGGATTCTCCAGATCGTCCTCCCCTGGATTTACATCCTCGGATTCCTCACGCGGCTCACGCGGTGGGAGTAAACCCTGCTAATCTTCGATCCGTGAGTAAAACCCCGGTCTCACGAAACACTCTGCATTCTCCAAAAATGGCGCTGATCAACGCTCATTCTCTGGTTAACAAGACCTACAAGGGTCGGGCCTGGTTAGTACTTGGATGGGAGAACGCCTGGGAATACCAGGTGCTGTAAGCTTTAGCGTATTCTTTACTGCTTACACTGGCCACTGGCCTATAAAGTGGCTGATCTTTAAATAGCCCACTCCTAGAAACAGTCCTCGCTTATCCACCCTGTCTTGTCGTCTATTATCCTCTGCCACATATACAAGCTTTGAATCTCAGATATTATTGCTTGACTGGTCTGAACCAATAGTCCTAGTTTTGGTATATCGGCCACCTCACTTAGTAAATGGTTTTATAGCGGAATTTTCTGAATTCATAGGGGACCTGGTTACTAAACATGACCGATTTCTTTTAGTTGGTGACTTCAATGTCCATGTGTGTTGCCCCTCTAAACAGTTATCCACTGAATTCCTGAACACCATTGACTCTTTTAATTTACTGCAATGGGTTAGCCATCCTACACATCTACAAGGGCACATTTTGGACTTAATATTGACTTTTGGGCTGTCTATAACAGACGTTGAAGTGATTGAATCCCCCATATTCTTCACTACTTATCTAATACACTGGCCTATAAAGTGGCTGATCTTTAAATAACCCACTCTTAGAAACAGTCCTCGCTTATGGCCATACCACCCTGTCTGCGCCTGATCTTGGAAGCTAAGCAGGGTTGGGCCTGGTTAGTACTTGGATGGGAGACTGCCTGGGAATACCAGGTGCTGTAAGCTTTAGTGTTTTCTTCACTACTTATATCGGCCACCTCACTTAGTAAATGGTTTTATAGCGGAATTTTCTGAATTCATAGGGGACCTGGTTACTAAACATGACCGATTTCTTTTAGTTGGTGACTTCAATGTCCATGTGTGTTGCTCCTCTAAACAGTTATCCTCAGAATTCCTGAACACCATTGACTATTTTAATTTGCTGCAATGGGTTAGTCATCCTACACGTCTACTAGGACACACTTTGGACTTAATATTGACTTTTGGTCTGTCTATAATGGACATTGAAGTGATTGAATCCCCCATATCTGACCACTTTCCCATTGTATTTACGATGTGTCTTCCTGAGATTCCCCAGATAACAGTCTCTGATATAAGACAATATACTCAAAAATAGTATAAATAATACTCAAATAATTATCAAATAATAGTATACGAGTATACTCGTCACATTTTTGCGAGGATTTTACTGCGCTTTACAATAAAGTTAACTTCCCTGTCGGTTGAGTCATCACTCTCTGATCTTGATGCTGAACACCATTTCAATTCTTTAAATACAGTCTGGACGGATGTATTAAACTCCATTGCACCTTTTAAGTATTTTAAACAAAAACCCAAATCAGAACCCTGGATTGATAATAACATTCACACCCTCAGACAATCCTGCAGAAAAGCGGAAAGAAAATGGAAAAAAGACAAACTGCAAATCTCTTTTGATATTCTGAAAAATTGTTTGTCCTTATATCAAAGAGCTGTTAAGAAAGCCAAGGCCTCCTATTTTTCAAATCTTATTGAAAAGCATCACTGTACTCCTAAAATACTTTTCTCTGTTATTAACTCTGCTCTAAATTCTCCTACTAATTATTTTCAAAATCCTTCCTTTGTGCTTTCTGAGGACTTCCTGAGATACTTCTGTGACAAAGTTACAAATTTGAGGGCCCAGATACAGGTAACAGATTACGTTGAGTTGCCACCTACAAATCCAACACCTTGGACAACATTTAACGATGTATCTTTACAAACAGTCAAGGAGGTGATCACAAAATTAAAACCCTCTTTCTGTCCCCTTGATATAATTCACCCCCGCTTTTTGAGGCAAATTATTGATACCGTGGGCCCAGGGCTGGTATCACTGTTGAATAACTGCTTGAAATCCGGGTACATTCTGGACGACCTGAAAATGGCCATGGTTACCCATGTTCTCAAGAAGCCCTCTCTTGACGCCTCTGTTTTAGAAAATGATTGACCAATTTCCACCTAACCATTTATCTCAAAAGTAATGGAAAAAATTGTGCTCCTACAACTTCAGCCTTTTTTAACTAATAATCACATCTTTGAAAAATTTCAATCTGGGTTCAAATCACTCCACAGCACTGAAACTGCTCTTGTAAGAGTTTTAAATGATATTTTAATGACTACTGACTCTGGTGCTTCTGCTATCTTAGTGATGTTGGACTTGTCATCTGCCTTCGACACTGTCGATCACGAGATTCTTATTTCTCATTTGGCGTCTCATGTGGGACTGGGGGGGGTGGTTTTAAACTGGTTTAAATCATTCTTAACAAACAGGAGATTTGTGGTAAAAACTGGAAGTTTTCACTCGACCACAAGCAACCTAACTTGTGGAGTTCCACAAGGTTCTATCTTATCTCCCGCTCTCTTCTCTCTTTATCTTCTACCACTGGGCTCTATTTTTAGAAAACACAACGTCTCTTTTCACTGTTATGCCGATGACCTACAAATTTATTTGCCTCTGACTAAGGAAACAAACTTTACCATTGGTACTCTTACTGCTTGTCTTACTGATGTCAAATCATGGCTTTCTAAAAACTTTCTATTCTTGAACCCAGATAAAACAGAAGTTATTGTTTTTAGTCCCTCAGAACATAGGGCAAGTATTCAACCCAATCTCGAGACCTTAAACTCCTTCATTTCTCCCCATGTTCGAAATCTGGGTGTGTTGTTTGATAATTCCTTAAAATTTGATAAACAAATTAGTGCTGTAGTAGGTTCTAGCTTCTTCCATCTTCGCTCCCTTTCTAAAATCAAGTCATTTCTCTCAAAAAGCTCTCTAGAGGTTGCTATCCATGCCTTTATTACGTCTCGGCTGGATTATTGCAACAAGTATTTCAAAAAAAGCAACAAGTCTCTCGGCTACAAGTAGTTCAAAATGCAGCAGCTAGATTCTTGAAGCGGTGTAAAAAGTTTGATCATGCCACTCCCCTCTTGCGATCATTGCATTGGCTGCCAGTTCACTATCGAACTGAGTTTAAAATATTGCTACTTGTCTATAAATCACTTAACAATCAAGCTCCGTCTTATTTATCTGATTTACTCCACCCCTACTCCTCTAAGAGGGGACTAAGATCAGAGGGCAAATTTCTCCTTCAAACCCCTAGAACCCGCTTAAAAACCAGAGGATCTAAAGCCTTTGAAGTGGCTGGTCCCACCCTCTGGAACAACTTACCAGTTCACATCAGAATGGCTTCCACTTTATCTGAGTTCAAGTCATATCTTAAAACACATCTTTTCTCTCTGGCTTTTAACGTGTAGTAATATGTGCCTTTGAATTGTTTTAATCTGCTTTTGCTGTTGTATGGATTTTGAATTGTTTCTATTTGTTTACTGATCTTCTTGTTATATATTATTGTATGTTGTGCAGCACTTTAGTCGGCCTTGTTTCGTGCTTAAATGTGCTCTAGAAATAAAACTGAACTTGAACTTGAACTACTTATCTAATACACTGGCTTATAGAGTGGCTGATCTTTAAATAGCCCACTCTTAGAGACAGTCCTCGCTTACGGCCATACCACCCTGTCTGCGCCCGATCTTGTCTGATCTCGGAAGCTAAGCAGGGTCGGGCCTGGTTAGTACTTGGATGGGAAACTGCCTGGTAATACCAGGTGCTGTAAGCTTTAGCGTTTTCTTCACTACTTATCTAATACACTGGCCTATAGAGTGGCTGATCTTTAAATGGCCCACTCTTAGAGAAAGTCCTTGCTTATGGCCATACCACCCTGTCTGCGCCTGATCTCGTCTGATCTTGGAAGCTAAGCAGGGTTGGGCCTGGTTAGTACTTGGATGGGAGACTGCCTGGGAATACCAGGTGCTGTAAGCTTTAGCGTTTTCTTCACTACTTATCTAATACACTGGCCTATAGAGTGGCTGATCTTTAAATAGCCCACTCTTTGTGGCAGTCCTTGCTTACGGCCATACCACCCTGTCTGCGCACTGAGTTGGTACATTCCAGGAAGTGTGAGTTGGCAGTTGGGAGAGAAAGGCTCTCCCATATTTGTTTGTTTTCTATATTGTATTTTCGTTTGATAATTATTTAAAGTTTATAAGTTTAATTTTATTTTAGTTTTGTTTAAACCTCAGACAGTTTTACTGTCTGGGGTTTTTATTTTTATTTTTTTTTTTCGAAATGACGGATATTATGGCTACGGAACAAGATCGGACATTAGACCAAGAGAAAATGGATAAAGTTAATGCTGAAATGAACAACGGAAAGGATATTGATAAGGACAAAGAAAACAATGAAACATGGGCAATGGTTGTCACAAGAAGAAAAAAGAATGGAATGGATTTAAGGAGTGGAGGAAATGGAGAGCGACAAACAAGTCAAGGTAAACAAACAATTGAAAAGAATGATGGAAGACGAGAATCAAGTCAAAGAAATGAGACATTAAAAAAGATCAAAAGTCAATCAAAATATCAGAGAATATAAAAAAGAAACAACTTTAACGTTGAATGTAAATAATCCAGAAAAAAAAACTGTGATGATGATAATAAAGGCTGTGGAAGAAAAGACTGCAATTGGAAAACTGTATGGACTGAGGAAAAAAAAATTTTTTTGATTATGAACTAACAATGGAAAATGAGACAGACTGTGTAAAGTTAACGGATGGATTATTGATTGATGGACAATTTTGTGAGATCCAAAAACTATGTACAACTGAAAGAATGGTCTCCTTTCTGCATTTGCCCAACTATATAAAGGACAATGAAATCATCCAAAAACTGGTAGATTGGGGAGTAAATCCGATTCTCCCGTTAAGAAGGAGATATTATCCGGGCACAACTGTTGCGGACGGAACAAGGTTTTTAAGAGTAAAATTTCCTAAGGAGATTATGACTCTGCCATACAATGCAAGATTTGACACGGAAGAAGGACCAAAATACTTCAGAGTACTTCATGATCAGCAACTAAAGACTTGTAGAATATGTGCAAGCACAAATCATGAAAAAAAGGACTGCCCTCAATATGTTTGCAGAGACTGTCTGGAGCAGGGGCACTTTGCGCGGGACTGTCAAGCCCTGCGGTGCCAAAGCTGTGAAAAGACTTGGACGAGGTGCACATGTGAATCTGAAGAGGAGGGTAATGTAGAAATGGAGATGGAGGTGCAGGAGCACATGGAGGAGTCAAGCGACGACAGAAAGGAAGACGAAATACAGGAAATGAATGGAACAACAGAGGATCTACATAAACAAGAAAAGGAGGTACGTACGGGGAGAGAGGACAATGGAGATAAAGAAACTGGAGTATATACAACAGAGACTGAGACACAGCAAACTACGGACAATAATGGACAAATCAAAGAGAAGGAATGTGCAACAGCAAGTGAAACAGCAGACAGCAGGCATAAAGAGGAGGTAAGCGATGAGGAAGCTGATGAAACAAACTTTGAGTTTGAAAGTAGAACACTGGACAGTATGAATAGAAGACGTAAAATGAAAAAAGTTGCGCAAATAAACATTGAACAAGTATTAAAGAAACAAAAATTAAGAAGAGAAGCAAAAGCAAGGTTAAAAGATGATAGAATAGATCTAAAACTTTAGATCTCAAGAGAGACCTTACATGGATTATGGGTTGTTTTGGTTTGTGTTTTTCTTTTCTTTTATTATGAGTAATTTATTTTGGTCTCGATAAATGTTAGAGGGTTGTCATCTAAATTCAAGTTTGAAAATGTAATTAATTTAACAAAATCCAGTGATATTTTATGTATACAAGAGACTGGATGGAATGAAACAATAATTGATGATTTTAAAAAATGTTGGGATGGAGAAATATGGTACAGTAATGATTTAAATAAGAAAAAAGGCTTGGCGATACTAATTAGAAGGGGAGTAGTAGAATCGACGAATGTTTTATTTAAAGACAACAATGGAAGAATTTTAACTGTTAAAATTATGGTAAGGGGAGAAGAAATAACAATATGTAACATACATGCTCCAAATGAAGATATGGAAAGAGTTACTTTTTTTAAAGAGTTGAGCGTTTTAATTAATGGATGGAAGAATGTCATTGTTACAGGAGATTTTAATACTGTTTTAGAAAGAATAGATGTTGAAGATTTTATGGTGTATAGAGCTGATGTTGGAAGAAAAGAATTGAAATGTATGATGGATAAACATAAATTTGTAGATGTATGGAGAGATAGAAACAGAGTTAAAAGAGAATATTCAAGAAGACAGTGGGTGAATACAATTTTAAAACAAAGCAGAATAGATTTCATTTTATGTGACAGAAGATTTGAGCATTTTATTTCAAAAATTTTCTATAAAATGTATAGCGGGAGTGATCATGATTTTTTATATGTAACGATGGATTTCAGTGGAGTTGAGAGAGGACCAGGTGTATGGGTGGTTAATACAGAGCTTTTAAAGAACGAATTTTATCAAATGGAAATGGAAAATCGAATTATTAATAGTGTAGATGATGTTTTATATGATGAAGCAATATGTGTCTGGTGGGACAATATAAAATCAGATATCAAAAGATTGTCTGTAGAATTTTCTAAGAAAATACAGAAAGCAAAAAGAGCTAAAGAAAGAGAATTAAATAAAGAATGGGAAAATGAAATTAAAAAGATAACTGAAGTAAATACGGATATTAGAAAAATAGTAATATTAGAAGAGAAACTTAAAAAAATGGAAGAGGACAAATGTATTGGTGCTAGAATAAGAAGTAAGATAAGAAATACAGTGGAAGGAGAAAGAAGTACAAAGTTTTTTTATGATGCAGAAAAGACTAGACAAAAAGCTGATTTAATAAAGAATGTTTCAATGGAAGGTAAAAATATAAAAGATAAAAAAGGGATTTTAAAAGCGGTCAAGGATTTTTATGGTGTTTTATTTAAGAAAAAAGGAGTTAATGAGGAAGATGAAGAATTTTTGTTAAATCAAATCAAAGTTAAAGTTAAAGAGGATGATAAAAAATTGTGTGATAGTCATATAACAGAAGAGGAGATAAATGAAGCTATAATACAATTAAGTAATGGGAAAAGTCCTGGTTTAGATGGTCTATCATCTGAATTTTATAAGGTTTTTAAATATGTGTTAATACCTATTTTGAAAGATATTTTCATAGTTATTTTTAAGAATGGACAATTGAGTGAGAGTATGAAGAAAGGCATGATTAAAATAATTTATAAAAAGAAAGGGAATAAAGATGATTTGCAAAATTACAGACCATTAAGTATGCTCAACACAGACTATAAAATACTAGCAAAGATTTTAGCGAATAGACTTAAAAAAGTAGTTCACCACATTATTACGACTAATCAGGCGTATGGCATAGTAGGAAGAGATATAGCGGATACGGTAACAAGCATTAGAGACTTAATTTGGTACATGAAAGAGAAAAAGAGTGATGGTTTTGTATTCAGTATAGATCTAGAAAAGGCATTTGACAGAGTTGAAGACAAATATTTATTTGATTTAATCCAACAATTTGGTTTTGGTAGTAATAGAACAAAAAAAAATTCAGTATGCAGATGATACTACACTGTTTTTAAAAGATTTTAATAGTGTGGAAAAAGCTATGGGAATTTTTGATAAATACTGTCGAGGTTCGGGTGTAAAAGTAAATAAGGAAAAAACTGAGTATATTAAGATTGGAAAAGTGGATATTCCACAAAGAGATTGGCGATTCAAAGAACAAAAAAGTAATATAAAAATTTTAGGCATTACACTTGGATATGATGAAAGTAAAACTAGAGAAATAAATTGGGATGAAGTTGTAAACAAAATGGAAAAAAGATTAAATTTTTGGAAACAGAGATTGCTGTTTCTAAAAGGGAAGGTACTTGTCTTAAATTCGCTTTTTTTATCCAAAATGTGGTATGTTTTAAGTGTTGTTAGTTTACCGATGTGGGTATATAAGAGAATAAAAACTATGATTTTAAAGTTTCTTTGGGATGGTAAGCCATCTAAAATAGCTTATAATACAATCATTGGAAAGGTGGAAGAGGGAGGATTAGGACTTATAGATCCATGGTTAAGAATGAAAAGCATGAGAATTAAAACACTAAAAAAGTTTCTTAACGAAGACAACATTCCGTGGAAAAGTGTCATGAATTATGTTATTAATAAATGTGGACAAATAGGTAACGATTTTTTATGGATGGCTTTTAAGGATAATATGATAGAAAATATACCAGAGTTTTATAAAGAATTGTTGAGAGCCTGGAAAATGTTTTATGATAATGTGTATGTAGAGATTAAAGGGAGAAAACAGTACCTACAGCAACCCCTATTTTTAAATCAAAATAATAAAAGCAAAAAACTCATGTTTTATGAAAACTGGTACGCAGTAGGTTTTAGACAAGTAAAAGATATTTTATATGAAGTGAAACCTGGCTTTTTGCCTACGCAAGCAATAATTGATTCACTTGAGGAAAGAGAAGATATAGAAAACAAAGGAAAAATTGAAGAACAATATACAAAATTAAAATTAGCATTGCCAGAACGTTGGATTAAAATTATCGAGGATAATGAAAAAGAAATTGAGAATGAAAAACCAAAGGTTTTTTTAAAAGCAGGGGATGATACGATTGTTTTTAATGATTGTGTCATTAAGATGTTTTATACCTGTTTACGAAAGAATGTTTTTGTAAAACCAAAAGCAATAGAATATTGGGAAAAGTTATTTGACAATTTTGATGCTTCGAATATATGGAAAAATGTAAGATTGAATTGTAAAAGTCCAGTTTTGGAACATTTTGATTTTTTATTAAGACACAATTGTGTGTTGACAGAAATTATTTTAAGTAAAATTGGGTTAGCGCAAGATGAAATGTGCAAAGTGTGTTTGGAGAAAAAGGAGGGTGTATTACATTTATTTTTAAAATGCAGAAAGTTAAGTGATTTTATAAAAATGTTAAAAAAGATGGTATGTGATTTTCTGTATAATGACAAGATTAGTTTGGAAGAATGGGATACATTGCTTTTATTTGGTTTCAATGGAAAGACAAAAAATAAGTATGCTATTAATTTTATGTTAACGCTTGCAAGATTTGCAATATGGAGAAGAAGAAATATAATGAAACAAAAGAAAAAAGAAATAGCAATAACTTTATTATATAAACAGATTTTGATGGATGAAATACAAGTTTTATATGACTATTGTAAAATGCTTGAGAATATGGAAATGTTTGAAAAATGTATTACAAAAAATAATCTTGGACTGGTTTTGAGGTTCTGTTACCAGAAGATGTTTAAATATTTGTGAAAAAAAATAAATAAATCTCGTCTGATCTCGGAAGCTAAGCAGGGTCGGACCTGGTTAGTACTTGGATGGGAGACCGCCTGGGAATACCAGGTGCTGTAAGCTTTAATGAAAAAAACAAAACAAAAAAAATGTCTGCGTCTGATCTCGGAAGCTGAGCAGGGTCAGACCTGGTTAGTACTTGGATGGGAGACCGCCTGGGAATAACACTGGCCTATAGAGTGGCTGATCTTTAAATAGCCCACTCTTTGAGGCAGGCCTTGCTTACGGCCATACCACCCTATCTGCGCCCGATCTCGTCTGATCTCGGAAGCTAAGCAGGGTCGGGCCTGATTACTTCTTGGATGGGAGACTACCTGGGAATACCAGGTGCTGTAAGCTTTAACGTTTTCATCACTACGTATCTAATACACTGGCCTATAGAGTGGCTGATATTTAAATAGCCCACTCTTTGTGGCAGTCCTTGCTTATGGCCATACCACCCTGTCTGCGCCTGATCTCGTCTGATCTTCGAAGCTTAGCAGG